ATGACTATCTCCACCAACTTCAGCAGCGTTACAAGTGGAAGAATCACCAGGATTCACTCAAAATTGGAGATTTAGTTCTAGTAAAGGATCAGAATATCAACCCAAGCAAATGACCACTAGCAAGAATCACTGAAGTGCATCCAGGTAAAGACACAGCTGTTAGAGTGGTTACTATAAAGAGAGCAGAAGGAGGCCCGATCAAGAGATCTACGCATCATTTAATTCCAATATTGTCAAGTGCCGAGACTGAACAACAGCCAGTCCACAACAATGACAAACGAAGTGCAAGACAGCATTGGAAAAAGATATTGATCGCCATTCTATTTATTGTGATGATTCAAGGGTCCAAAGCAAATCAATATTCGATACATTATCCTCAACCAGGACTATACATTGAGCACATGGGACATGCACGAATAGACAGGGGCACTTTCAGAGTTGACCTTAAATATGAGAAAAACAAAATAATAAACGATTCCATGAACGTTCAAGGTGCAATATATCAATTAGATGACCTCTGTCAGCAAGTAAAATCAATGGAAATGAACACACAATGCATGTCACTGATCCATCATTTAAAAGAAAAGGAAAAACAATTTCAATGGATACAAAACGGACTACAAACTGTGGTATCCAAACGTGATAAAAGAGGAGTTTTGGGAAAACTATTAACCGCAGTGTTCGGAGTAAACGATGAGATCTACATGAATATCGACGAATTAGACAAAAACCAGAAGGAGCTTATCAAGGCATCCACCCATCAAACCAAATTCATGCTACATGCTCTATCTACTTTCAATGACACCGAATCCAGAATCAACAATCAACTCCAGAGATTCCGGGAAAAAATCAATGAAGGCATTGCTTCGATTAATGAAATGAAAATATGGTATCGAACAGTGGATGCAAATAAACTAACAATTCACGTTCTCAGTTCATACCAAATTGTCTCCAATTACATAGATGAACTTCTGGACTATTAAAGACGATTGTTAGATGTTCACTACCATAAAGACCACCTATATGATCTGTAGTAAACTCACCCTATATTTAAGTTTATAGTACCGTTCTGTATACATTCCAATGCTTTTTATTATATTGTTCACATTAACCGTACCGTGAGTACCCAGAAATATATCATTCTTCTCACTTACGATTCAGCAACGAAATAAGGCGTTTTATTTCTCCCGCAAATAATAAATTTTATAAATTAAATAAATTAAATAATTATAAATCAAGTCAAATTATTACACTGGCGCAGTCGGTAATTGTGATTAAATAATGTCGATTGGCAAATTGGAACCCTTCAAAATCGGCGAGGGAAATTGGACTTCATACATAACAAGAATGGAGCAGTATTTCAAAATGAATACTATTAAAGAAGAAATGAAGACAGCAATTCTGATTACTGCAGTAGGGGACGAGGTTTTTGAGTTAATGGTAGACCTTTGTAGTCCAACGAAACCAGAAGATCAGACTTTCGTCGGGTTGGTAAGCTTACTAAAAGATCATCTTCAGCCAACTCCATCGGAGATCGCCAAACGATACAAATTTCGCCAAAGGAGACAAGATAATGGAGAATCCATGGCAAGCTATATTGCGACGTTGAAGAAGTTATCCAAAAATTGCAACTTTGGGGCTAATTTGGAAACCCAACTCCGTGACCAGCTGGTTTTTGGCCTTCGAAATGACGCCGTAAGACAACGTCTTTTTCAGGAAAAAAAATTGACTTACAAAATCGCCCACGACATCGCCGTAAACATGAAAGCGGCGGAAATAAATTCAGGCTTGATTGCACCAGAAGGAAATGTCCAGCATGTATCCAGAACACAAAAAACATCGGCACCAATCCATGGAAAATCTAGCTATTTTTCCAAGAATGAAGCAGGAGGCAGTAAATGCCGCCATTGTGGGAAAACGAATCACTATAGTCAAATATGTTTTTTCAAGGATGCGAGGTGCAATATATGCAAGAAAAGAGGCCACATTTCATCAGTGTGCAGTCAAAATAAGGGTAAAAATTTTAAATTTAATAAATTTGTCGATTTAGCAGAAGACAGAGTTAATTCTGATGATTCCGATGAGGAATTGAATTTTTTTAATATAACATATAAATTTGAAAAACCTCTGAAAATCAAATTGAAGGTGGAAAATGTGTCAATATTAATGGAGGTCGATACTGGATCACCAATTTCTGCTATTTCGGATGAATTTTATGTAGATCATTTCAAAAATGTAACGTTAAATGCTTCAAAATTAAATTTAAAATCATATGCGGGTGACTTGTTAAATACTTTAGGGTTTATTTGTGTAAGCGTGGATCACGAAAATATTGTGCAAAAGTTGAAATTATTTGTAGTAAAAAATGGAGGTCCTCCAATTATTGGCAGAAATTGGATCAGAAATTTAAATATCTCGGTAGATAATCTACTTAATATTAATCAGTTAACGCAATTTCAAATAACGGAAACTCCTATAACTCTCAAATCTAAATTTCCGGAAGTTTTTGCCGAAGGTTTGGGAAAATTTAATAAGGATTTGGCAACATTGCATTTAAAACATAATTCAGTGCCTGTTTTCTGTAAAGCGCGGAATTTGGCTTTGGCGTTAAAAGATAAAGTTGAAAACGAATTAACCAATTTAATTAAATTAAATATTTTAACCCCTGTAGAATTTAGTGATTGGGCCACACCAATTGTACCAGTTTTAAAAAAAACCGGCGAGGTGCGCATCTGTGGGGATTACAAAATTACTTTAAATCCTAAATTACAGGTCGATAATTACCCAATTCCAAAAATTGAGCACTTATTCGCGAAATTAAACAAGGGCCAATATTTTAGTAAAATTGATCTATCCCAGGCCTATGCCCAAATTGAACTGACAGACGAATCGAAGGCTCTGACAGTCTTGAACACACATAAGGGGCTTTTTCAAATGAACAGGCTTCCTTATGAGGTGGCTTCAAGTCCGGGTATTTTTCAGAGAATAATTGAAAGTATGTTTGCAGGTATGAATAACGGTGCCATTTTTTTGGATGATATTCTAATCACGGGAAAAAACTCTGAAGAGCATTTAGAAAACCTTTTTAAAGTATTCGAAAAATTGCGTGATTGTGGGTTGAGAATAAAAATTTCTAAATGTGCATTTTTTCAACAAGAAATAAATTTTTTAGGCTATACCATAAATAAATTTGGTTTGAGTACATCATCTGATAAGGTAGTGTAACGGGTTTTTCTGGGTAATAAGCTGTGGCAAGCTTTATCGGTCAAGTGATAACTTTCGGTCAATTATCCATCGGTTTTCTCGGGCGCCACCCTCGGGATTAAAGTGGTCGAGGGTCCACGTGCACCAGGTAGCTTGTTACAGTGGAGAAAGAAAAACCAGAGGTCGTGAGGAAAAGAAAAACTCAACATCAACTGAATAACATGTTTATTCCTCACAATTAATTAAACAGGAAAGAATCACTAAAATCTAACAAAGAAACAGTGAGGGGGGTAACGAAATAATAGAGAGCGTTTCGGTAGAACGTAGCGGATGCGGTTACGCGTTACGGTAAGGTATACGGTACGAGAGTCGGCAAAATTCGGAACTGTTCGGTAATCGGTGTAATACGGTACGGTACGGTTCGGTAATCGGTGTAATACGGTACGGTTCGATAATCGGTTCTATTCGGCACGGTTCGGTAATCGGTAATATTCGGTACGGTGCGGTAATCGGCAATATTCGGTACGGTTCGGTAATCGGAAATATTCGGTAACGGTTCGGTAATCGCCTTTGCCCCCAGCTCGTAGAAGTGAAAGCTTAAAGCGCTTGCGCGAATGAAACGGAGCGGCCGGGCACAGGTTCTAATACTCCATCCTCCACACTCCCAGACGGAGAGAGGAGTAACGTCGTACGAGCCTGCACGATACTCCCCTAACCCGTCGGCGCGGAAAAGAATGGTGCCACTGGGAACCGATCCAACCAATGACCCCATTCCCCTCTCGTGGGAATGACGAAGACGGAGACTGTAGATCCCCGAAGGCGTGAGGGATATCGCGGAACGAACCAACACGATAACCCCCAAACCCTCGACATAGTAGAGAATGGTGCCACAGAGTAACGCTCCAGCCTGTGGCCCCATTGCCCATATGCGTGGGAAGCGGAAACGGAGCTTGTCGACCTCCAGAAGGCGTGAGGGATACCGCGGAACGAGCCAACACGAAAGCCCCCAAACCCTCGGCATAATTGAGAATGGTGCCACAGAGTAACGATCCAGCCTGTGGCCCCATTGCCCATATGCGTGGGAAGCGAACAAGAAAAGTACCTGTACTCACGGTGTCATGGTTGTCTGGCGGACGGCGACGGTCTTCTGCACTACGAGCTGCTGGCGGCGGCAGAATAAACGGTTCGGAGGATTACCTTTAGGCTTCGGTCGGCTTCGGCTCTGGTGGAACGGCAGGCAGCTTGTCTCCAGGCGGTAGGTGTTGCTTCGACCGTCTCGTTGGAGCGACTCCCCGAATCGACTGTGCGAAACTCGTTTTATTAGCGAGAAACAGCGCGTCAGAGCCTGCGTCCCGAAGTGATGCCGAGTCGACACGTGAATTTCCGATTGAAGTCGCGCGGACAGCGGTACTGGAGAGCGCTTTACCGACAAGGTCAAGCGTCAAGCAATAATCAATAAAAATTTGAATCGCTATTTAATTAGTAACGAAAATTCCAGGAAGTTCGTTACACACCCCCCTCTGTTCGGTAAAAAAAAATAATCATAATGTACACTAATCATTATTATTATTTTTTTTTTCACTAGAGGTGAATATGAGAAGAAAATAACCCTAAAAAAAAATAATAAATTCTTACGGTCAGACTTTATCCCTGAGAGACCTAACTTAACACTATAAAATAATATAAAGAAAAGAAAATAAACCTTAAAGGAGCCTTAAATAAAAAAATAAAACAATAAGAAAAATACTCCTTTCCCCCATGATACGGCTCCTTCTGGACCAGGAAGCTTCTTACCCCTACTGGAAATGTTCGCCGAATGGGCAGCCACAAGTTCGGCACGGTCGGAATCGGGTTCTCGGATTGGCAGCCCTGTGCGGCTGGTTACAGCGGTCCCGGGCGGATGGTCCTTGGGCTGATTGACCACCCTCAGTGTGGCATGCGGGGATCGGCGATCGACGGGGGGTCAGCGGCCAGTCGGAAGACGGCGGTCGGCGGGAAGTCGGTGGCCGAGTGGAAGTCGACGGCCTACTAAGAGACGGCGGTCGGCGGGAAGTTGGCGGACGGTTTGAAGTTGACGGTTCAGTCGCAGTAGGCGACCTACTCGCAGACGGCGGTCGGCGGAAAGTCGGCGGACGGGTGGAAGTCAACGGTCGATTGGCAGTCGGCGGCAGGCTGGAAGATGGCGGGCGAGGCACTGGTTCACAAGGACAGTGCTTGGACATTATCCCCACTTGTCCGCATCTGGAACAGAACACCAAGGGTGAACCGGTGCAGTTGTCCCGTCGGTGATTGGGATAGCCGCATCTCCAACAGAGACCCTTTTCGACCGGTAATCGGATCGCTGATGCCACTGCTTTGTTTAAATTACAAACGGACGTCACGGGCGGCGTTTCCTCCGTAAGGACGGTTGATTTCGTGGTCGGTGAAGTTGTTCGGATTTCGGACACAGGCGTTGGGGTTGCCAGGGTGTCTTGTATCTCGGCGGTTGAAGTAGTAGCCTGATTGGGGAAGGTCAGGTGGGAATCCTCCTGAAGCGCCTCCTCAAGGGCTAGACGAATGTCTTCGTCGTGCAATTCTAAGATTGGACTGTTCATCTGGAAATAAAGAGAAACGGTAAAGCGGAGTGAACGGCAACACGGTATAACTAAAATCCATTTATTGGCATCCGGTAACAAAATAGTAGTAAATAAGAACGTCTTCTAATCACAGAAAAAAAAATCACAGTAAATTAAAGTTCATTCTGGTAAAATAGGAGAAAAGAACAAATAATTCGGCGGTTGATTAGACCAAATTGCCGGGCACATTTATGTGTACCCAGGCCCCATGGGAAGTTCGGAGACGGGCTCGATAACGGCGGTGACTGGGTAGTTCGGGTGGTCGGTAGGCGGCTAACGCAGCCCTATATGCCGGTGTCCAGGTGAACACATTGCGGTGTTGTTGCGCCAAATCGGCCAAGTCCGTTTCTTGTGGTCGGTAGACCACATGGGCCATATCCGGAGAAGACATCCGATTTAGTTGGCGGGTGGCCCACGCTGGTAGGTGCAAGTCCGCTGGCTCCGTCGAATGACGAGCTGCTGATTTCCTCTTCCACCAAGTTCGTAAGGAGGGGTGGAAAGCGGACCAGTTGGTATGTACTTCTACTGGTGTACGGGCCGTGGACGTCTGCGGCTTGGCGGCAGTCGGGTTCGGACTGTCGGGTTGAAACTGGTTGGCACGAGAATGTGGAGGGCTGGTTTGTACACCTAGTGATCGGTTTGGCCGGATTGAGCGTATGGGCGTGGCTAGCGGTGGTACGGGTATTGTAGCCTGTCTGGGCCCTTCGGCAGTTGACGCAGAAGTGACAGTCGCCGGCGCCGAGCGATTAGTTACCGTGGCCACATGGCCTCGCGGTGGGGGTCCGGCGAATCGGGAGTTATACTGTCTTGCTGCCTGACGGAGTTGCCGATTTCTTAACTCTTGCTCTCTAGTGCGCTGGCGCCGTTCTTGCCGTAGAGAAAAAACTGACGCAGGATCTGGGCGGAATCTTTTTGGTGGATCCATCTACGAGAGAAAAGAAAAACGAAGTTATACATAGGCAGGTTTAAGGTCTTTGATGTGAACGCGCCGAATATTTTTGCCGGTACCGTCTCGTAAGTTATATACCACGGGAGAAACAACTTGGGTTATAGTGTACGGTCCGGAATATTTTGGAGCGAGTTTGGCAGCAAACCCTTTGATAGCAGAGGAAAGTGGATTATCCCTCTTCATGACCTTATCCCCAATATGGCATCGCCATTCTCGGCGACGGAGGTTGTATTGGTGACTTTGAAGAGTGAAAGCTCGGTCTATATTGACCCTCACCAATTCGTAAGCGTCTTGCAGCCTCTTTAAACGGTCGGGAAGGACTGCTGGAGCAGCTTTCTCGTTATCAGTTTCCTCTGGAACGGTTTCATCCTGGATCGCCTCCGGCTCTGGTTCTGAGCCCCGATATATAGCATTGGGGGGATCCAACTCCCTGCCAAAGTTTAAGAAAGCCGGTGAAAAACCAGTGGAGTCTTGCTTAGAGCTATTTAGGGCAAAGACCAATTCGGACAAATGGGAATCCCATTTGCGGTGATCCCCTTCGCAATATTGAGCCATCATTGTCTTGATGGTCTTGTTGGTACGCTCTACGGGGTTCGCCTGTGGGGTATAGGCTGGGGTAAATCGGTGAGCGATACCCATTTCTTGCATAAGCTCCTTGAACGGTCGGCCGGTATATTGGGTGCCATTATCAGAAAGCACCGTACGGAGACAACCAAACTTAGTGACAATTTGTTCATAAAAGGCTTGTGAAACAGCACGTGACGTGGCTTGACGGATCGGTCGGCATTCTACCCATTTAGTAAATCGGTCCTGAAACATGAGGAGATAGTTATTGCCCTTGGACGATCTAGGCAAAGGTCCTATCAAATTGGTTGTAACGGTTTCCCATGGTCGTTGATTTCGGGAGGGTTGCATTAGGCCTGGCGTTTTCTGCTGCGAAGGCTTGTATCGTTGACAGGAAATACAAGCCCTAACATAGCGAGCTATGTCTCGCGTCATTCCTGGCCAATAATACTTTCGACAGATTCGAGCCGTGGTTTTGGCAATACCTCGGTGACCGGCAGTTGCTGTGTCGTGATTTTCTTTCAGGACAGAATCTCGGGCATTTTTAGGTACACAGAGTTTCCACGGGCCGTTTGTCTCGGCGTCGGACAAGTCGTAAAGATCCCAGAAGTGGCGATACAAGCTTCCGTTCTTGATACAGTAATCCGGAAAAGCGGTAGGGTTGCTTTCAACCGCAGCCTTTTTGGTTTGGTACCAAGAACACGGTTCGAAGTTCCCCAATATCAAAATAGCATCCGGTTCTTCCATCGTTTCGGTCGGTAGCGGTTCTCGGGATAAAGCGTCTGCGACTCGGTTGAGAACGCCTTTGCGGTACTTAATTTCAAAGTCAAATTGTTGAAGGTAAATGCTCCAACGGGCTAATCTGCCGGCCGGGCTTTTGATTGAATGGAGCCATTTCAGACTTTGATGATCGGTTATTATGGTAAAGAGATAACCCTCTAAATACGGTCTCATTTTCTCCACTCCCCAAACAATAGCCAGGCATTCTTTTTCGGTTACGGAAAACTTTTTCTCCCCTGAACTCAAACTGCGACTGGCATATGCAATTATATGATCGCCATCCGAGGTGTGTTGGATCAAAGCTGCACCTAATCCATTATCGGATGCGTCGGTTTGTAAGACGAAAGGTTTTGTGAAGTCAGGACAAGCCAGTACTGGAGCTTCCGTAAGACAAGTTTTTAGTTTCGCAAAAGCGATTTGTTCAGTTTCGGTCCAGGTCCAGCGAACTCCTTTCTTCAACAATCGGTTGAGGGGGCTAGCAATTTGTGAAAAATTTTGCACAAAACGGCGGTACCAAGATGCCACCCCTAGAAATCGACGGAGACTTCGGAGATTGTTGGGTGCCGGAAGTTCCTGAATGGCTGCTACTTTGTCCGGATGCGTACGAATGCCCTCGGATGTAACCAGATGTCCCAAATAGCGGAGTGATCTTCGTCCGAACTCGCACTTGTCGGAATTTAATCTCAAATTCGCCCTCTGAAGACGTCGGAATACCTCTCTTAGGTTGTTGAGGTGTTCCTCAAATGTTTCTCCCAGAATAATTATGTCGTCTAAATAGGCAAAGCAGAAGTCGTCCAACTCAGGTCCGATGATGCGGTCCATTAACCTTTGAAACGTTGCGGGGGCGGAATGAAGGCCGAAAGGCATGACTCTGAATTGGAAGAGGCCCATGCCCGGTACGGTAAAAGATGTTATCGGCTTACTATTTTCGGACAGCGGTACTTGCCAGTACCCTTGTTTAAGGTCTATACTGGAAATATATCTTGCTCTCCTTAGTTTATCCAAGATGGCATTAATAAAAGGCAACGGGTAGGCATCCTTCCGACTGACGGCATTTACTTTTTGAAAATCTATGCAAAAACGGTGTTTACCATCCTTTTTCCGAACGATGACTACGGGTGAGCTCCATGGGCTATCGGATGGTTCGATTATCCCGTCAGTCAGCATTTGATGTACCTCGGTATGGATTATCTCCTGCATTTTCGGATTTTGCGGACGGTACCTTTGTTTAATCGGTTCAGGAGTCAGAAGATGAATAGTGTGTTCAACCAAAGGCGTAGTGCCTTTTATCCGGTCAAACTTTGGCAGCTCGACGTCCAAAAAGTCTTTTAGACGTTGCTCCTCGTAAGGTGTCAGTACCAAGCTTGGTTTAGTATCGATCGGTCCGATTGGATTAAGCGGAGTCGGTGGTGGTAGAAATTGTTCTTTCAGGAAAATATCGCCATTGCCCAGGTCCAAATAGAAATCGTGTTTATTCAAAATATCCATGCCCAGGACAATATCCGAAGTCATATGTGGAAAGTAACTTAGAGTTTCGGTCAGGACGGTATTTCCGATTTTCAGCGGTATCTGATATGCTTCGGAAATTTCCACTACACCTCCATTGGCTACTGTTGCGTTTGCCATCGGCGGTCGGATTTTCGGATACTCGCAGGATCGGCAAAGTTCTGCGGAAAGGTCCCCAATATAAGAGTTTACGGCTCCAGTATCTATCAAAGCCAAGAAAGGTGCGTCGGCAATGTCTATACGCACATGCGGCCTAGCATCGGACAAGCGTTGAAGAGATGAAGTCTGCGAATGCCGCTTCGAGGCTTTCTTCTGACGGTGTTGTTCGGGCCTCGAACCGGTGCAACACCTTATTAGTTTCCCGAACGGGTACAGGTGCAGTCTCGAGATAACGTTCCGGTCTTTCCGCATTTGGAGCAAAATAATTTAGGTGGATTTCTGCATTCTGTTCGGAAATGACCATTTTCTCCGCATCTCCAACAAATACTTGCGTGAGTGCCGGCATAAGTAGTATTTCTTTCGGGTCGATTTACTCTGGTAGATGCCTCGATTCGTGGGTTATGAGTAAAACGTCTGTTTTGCGGCGGTGATTTCTGTGGCGGGGTACTACTGGTCGGTGGACGGTAAATAGCGCGAGAAGTTGACGGGCCGGTTTTCAATTCGGATAATAGAAGTTCAACTTCGCGGACCGTGCGGGAGAGGGTTACAACGTCGCCAAGGTCGGTCTTTCGAATATATTGACGATATTCCGGCAGAAGATTTCGGTACAGCCAGTGAAGCTCTCGTTCGGGTGTGATATTCCCGTGTCTTCGGATAAGGGTTTGTAAGTCGGTTATGTACTGGTGGGGAGGCTCATTCGGTCTTTGAAGGCGGCGACTGATCTCGATTTCCAAATCAGCGGCATAGTTGATTGGGAAATAGAAGCTACGGAAGTCCTCCAAAAATTTGGTCCAAGTAGTCCAGTGCGGACGGTTATTGCGGAACCAGAGTGCCGCCTCGTCTTTCAAGAGTTCAGGCATGTGAGGTAGTAGTCGGTCAATTAGGATGCCTTGTGACGTGCAAATTTCGTGGAGCTGTTCGATAAATGTAACGGGATCGGTACAGCCGTCAAAGTGTATATTCCACTTATGAACTCGCAACGATGGTACCACTGAGGGCACCGGAGGTCCATATGAATACG